GTAATACTCACATCTTTGTTTCTGTGAGAGATCACTCAGTACTATAGACTCTAGTTTCATCCAGGTTGCTGCGAAATTCATGATTTTGTTCCTTTTTATGGCTGCGTAGTATTCCATTGTGTATATGTACCACATTTTTTTAATCCAGTCCTCTTTTGATGGACATCATGGTTGGTTCCAGGTTCTTGCTATTGTGAACGATGCTGCGATAAACATATGTGTGCAGGTATCTTTTTGATAGAGTTATTTGAGTTCTTCAGGGTATATTCCCAGTAGGAGGATTGTGGGGTCATATGGGAGGTAGATATTTAGAGCTTTTAGGAATTGCCACATTGCTTTCCACAGAGGTTGCACTAGTTTACACTTCCACCAACAGTGTAGAAGTGTTCCCTTTTCACCACACCCTCTCCAGCAACTGTTATTTTTGAGTTATTGATAATGGCCATTCTGACTGGAGTTAGGTGGTATCTCAGTGTAGTTTTAATTTGCGTCTCCTTGATGCCCAGCCTTATTTTGCTTATCTTTAATCTTGCCTGTTTGAGAGTGAAACTGAGGTTTCAGCCTGAAGTCTCACAGCAGTTTAGGGTGGGGAAATGGCTTTACAATTTTTAGTAACTATTTAATTGCCAGGCCTTTCATGTATCTCCTTCAATTCTAAAAATGTTGGAGCAGATATTATTGCCAATATAGCAGATAAACCTCTTCTCTGAGCACCACAATCAGGCATGTCAACTTCTTATGAGTCCACCCTGACCACTGTGTTTAAAATTGCAACTCACTGTACATTTCTTGACTCTTGATTCTCCTTGTTTTTGTCCCATAGCTTTATCACCTTCCAATCTATTATATAATTAACTTATTCTTATTTTCTCCCTTAATAGAAAGCAAGCCCCTTGAGGATAGGGTTCTTGTTTTTTTTCTCTTACTGATTTACTCAGGCACCTAGAACACTGCATGGCATGTATTAGGTGCTCAGTAGTTGTTGAATAAATGAGTATCCATTATTCCCACTTAGGTGTTCCACAGACATTTCATACTGTTCCCCAGTGTCATCATTCAACTATACAGTTATGCCAAAAGCTTTCTGGCATAATCTTATATTTCACAATCTTATATTCACTCATTAATTCAGTCTTTGAAAAAATTTTTTGGGTATCTGCTATAGACCTGGCAAAATTTCTAGACTGTGGTGTTACAGCAATAAACAAAGGAAAAATCTGCCCCATTACTGTCCAGTGAAGCTTATACTGAAGGAGATAGAAAATAAATAAGTGCATCTGCCAGGTGCCAAGGAAATTAAAAATAAAGCAGGATAAAAGGGATAGGTGGTAAAAATGGACATCTCTGGTGAGACTTTTGAGCAAAGACCTAAGGAATGTGAGGGGGCAAATCATGGCATCCAAATTGGCAAGTTCAAAAACTGTGTTGAGCAGTAGGAAAAGGGTCTCTATAGGTATATTGCGTCAAATGGAGAATACTTTGAAGGTGACTGAAATTTAAACACATAAGAATAAATACACAATTTTTAATAAATAAATTCCGGTTTTTGGCATCCTCCCATGTCTTCAGGTACACTAATCTTCTCTTGTGCCTAATCTGTTGATTCCACGCACTGTATTTTCATCCTACACAGTGTACTTTTCATTTCTAGCAGTTCAATTTGAGTTTTTAAAAATATCTTACATATCTAGATAACTTTTTCAACACATAGAATACAGTTAGAATAACTTTTAATGTCCTTTTCTGTTAATTCAAACATCTGTGTCAGTTCTGGCTTGGTTTGAATGGACTGATCTTACTCTTCTCTGTGGGTCATGTTTTCCTATTTCTCAGCGTGCTTGGTAATTTCTGATTCGACACCAAATATTTTGAGTTTTACTTTGTTGGGCACTAAATATTTTTATATTTCTATTAGTATTCTTGAGCTTTGTTTTAAGATGCTGTTAACATTACATAGAAATAACCCTTTGGACTCTTGCTTATATGACCTGTCAAGCAGGACCTGAACTTTGCTTAATCTAGAGCTGATTATTCTACACTACTGAGGTAAAACCTTTCTCTGTGCCATACCCCGTGCCCTATGAATTTTGAAGTTTTCCATTCTAGGTGTGATCTCTGGCTACTGTCATTTCTGATACTTTCATGTCTCTGGCCTTGGCTAGTTTTCTCACTGATCAGTATTCTGCAGATTACTCAAGGGGACTCTTCTCACATCTCCAGTCTTCTGTGCTCAGCCCCCTCCTCTTGGATACTTTGTCCTGTCTAGCTGCCTTGGTCTCCCTTGACTGCCAACTTTGTTTCCTAATTCAGAGATTTTTGCCCCCTCACAATGCTATATCCTGGATGCTTCCTCAAGCCAGTAAGTAGGACTCATTTTGTTTGTTTTCTGTCTCTTTGAAATCATTGTCCTTTGCTGGCTGAAGTTGTGAAAAATGTTTTATATATTGTGTCTGAGTTACTGGTTGTTTGAGGTGAGAGGGTTAATCTGATCCTTGTTATTTTATCTTAACTAGGAGCAAAAAACTCTTTCCTTTTAGATTTTACCTTGACTTCAAAGGTACATTGTAGTAGTATAACTTTTAATTTTGAGATACGGCCAGCAGCGGTAGCTCATACCTATAATCCCAACACTTTGTAAGGCCAAGGTGAGAGGATTGCCTGAGCCCCTGGCGAGACCTCATTTCCACAGTGAATCAAAAACTTAGCTGGGTGCGGTGGCATGTGCCTGTAATTCCAGCTACTTGGAAGGCTGAGGTGGAAGGATCACCTGAGCCCAGCAGGGTCAAGGCTATGGTGGCTGTGAGCATGCTGCAGCACTCCAGCCTGGGCAACAGAGTGAGACTCTGACTCAAAAAAAAAAATTGAGATGCAATGCCTGTTTCCTTTTCTATTGTAGAAAATTGTACTCATTGTATGTTGTATGAACTTGAACAACAGTCTGTTCATCAGCCTTGTAATAGTGAAACCGCTCACTATGGTGTGCCTAAACTTTATAATGAACTCAACCAATATAGAGAAAATTGTACACATTTTCTTAGAGACTAGAAAAAATATTATTTTTTTTTGCAATATTTAAAGTACAAGTAAATGGTGACTACAGAAGGAGAACTTTTAAAATGAAATGTAGATTCTTGATTGTGTTTGTATGTGTGTGTTTGACTAAGTCCCACTCATTCTTCAGGCTTCTGTTCAGCTGTCATTTCTTCAGGAAATCTCGAAGTCAGCACTCTCCTACCCTGTTATGTATGCTCAAAGCATACTGTACCTGTCCTTTATAATAGTCACTTCGACTCTTAACGTTATGTAATTTTTTGACACCCTTCCTCTACTATGTAAGTTCTGTGATGGGAGAAACAATCTCTCTAATTGATCACTGAATCCCCAGAACCAGGCTTGGTGCCTGACACAGTGGAGGTTCTCAATAATAAATATTTGTGAAATACATGAAAACATGAAGATCACACAGTAAATAGTGAGGCTGGCATTCTGACCAATTCTATACTTTTCCACTCACTACTCCTTCCTCAGGCAATCTGTGGTGGTAAACTGCCAAACAAATAAAAAGACATTGCAATTTTCAAAAGGATTTAGTACAATTTTCATATCAGATTGGCTATCATTAAAATATTAATAAGAAGGCAGGGCTTGGTGGCTCACACCTGTAGTCCTAGAACTTTGAAAGGCCGAGATGGGTGTACTGCTTGAGCCTGGGAGTTCAAGACCAGCCTGAGCAACGTAGTAAGACCTTGTCTCTACAAAAAAATAAAATTAGCCAGGCAGAGTGGCACACGCCTATGGTCCCAGCTACTCAGGAAGCTGAGATGGCAGGATGGCTTAGGAGTTGGAAGATGAGGTGAGCTGTTGTTGTGTCACTGCACTCCAACTTGCGCAACAGAATGAGACCACGACTGAGAAAAGAGAGAAAGGTTAATAAGAGGTTGTGTTGGTGAAGACACGGTGAAACACTTACTCTGTTTTAAAGTGTAAGTCGGTATCCTTTTAAGAGAGAAAGCTGGTAATATCTGTGAAAATGTAAAAATGTACATACACATTCAGCAATTCTACCTCTAGGAATTCATACTCCAGATATAGTAAGACAGTAGACCTAAAGAAATATGTACAGGACTGTTCATTTTAGGATAATGCTGAATAGCAGAAGATTGAAAACAGTCTAAATGTTAGTTATTAGTAAAATGTGAGATATATACTGTAATATAATAATATTAATACAATGTTAGTATACTTAACATATTATATGTGTTATATATCATGGAATGCTGTGTAGCTATTTTTTAATAAAATAAATTTACGGGTATGGATATAGAATAATTGGCAAAACATAATATTAAGAAAGCAAGCTGCACAGTTACATATATTGGCCACATATATACATGCCTAACTTGAAGATACTGCAGGTTCAAGTTCCAGACAATAAAGTGAGTTACACAATTTGTTTGGTTTCCTAGTGCACATGAAAGTTATGCTTACACTATACTGTAGTCTATTAAGTGTACAATAGCATTATGTCTAAAAAAAATTTTTTTTTAATTTATTGGTAAAAAATGGTAACAGTTATCTGAGCCTTCAGTGGGTCATAATATCTTTGCTTGTGGAGGGTCTTGCCTCAATGTTCATGGCTGCTGACTGATCAAGGTGGTAGTTGCTGAAGATCGGGATGGCTGTGGCAGTATTGGCAATATCACTCTTTTGCCCAGGTTGGAATGCAGTGACATGCTCTAAGCTTACCACCACCTCAGCTGCCTGGGTCCAAATGACCTTTTTGCTTCAGCCTCCTGAGTAAATGGGACTACAGGTGCATGCCACTATACCCAACTAATTTTCTGATGTTTTGTAGAGACAGGGTCTTGCTATGTTGCCTAGGTTGGTCTCAAACTCCTGGGATCAAGTGATTTCCCTGCCTGGACTTCCCAAAGTTCTGGGATTTCAGGAATGGACCGCCATAACTGGCCACAATATCTTAAAATAAGACAACAATAAAGTTTGCTGCAGCAATTGACTTCCTTTAATGAAAGATTGCTCTCTAGCATGTGATACTGTTTGCCAGCATTTTACCCACAATTCAAAATAGCAGTCCCCTGAAACCTTTCTGCTGCTTTATCAAAATAGGCATATGTAAGCTTCTAAATACTTTGTTGTCACGTCAACAGTGTTCACAGCATCTTCACCAAGTGTAGATTCCATCTCAAGAAGCCACTTCTTTTGCTTATCTATAAGAAGTAACTCCTCATCCGTTCAAGTTTTATCATGAGTTTGCCGCAATTCAGTCACATCTTCATTCATAAGCTTTTTTCATGTCTTTCCATTGGGCGCTAAAGAGAGAATAGGGGCATGGCAGGAGACTGGAGAGATCCCCTGGAAGGCAAAGATATACATACCAGTATAGCTTCTGCTGAGACGGGGATTAAAAAAAAAAACCTACCTATTTTCCTGGACCATTTTCTGCTATAAGCAAAAGGCTTAAGCCACTGATGGTCAGCAAATATTTTTTCAGGGCACAGATACTGCTTTTAAGAGAGGAGGAGAAGCAAAACCTCTCTGCCTCAGAGGGAGGGGTAGGAAACCCTCTCATCCAAAGAATGGAGACAAAGATATTTTATTTCTGGAGGAAAAGTAGAAGCAAAAATCTTTATTTAGGGGATAGAGACGAAATAATTTGATGCCTAGCATCCGCCACTCAAGCCCACACTTGAGAGGAGGGGAATTATGCTATTTCAAAGAGGGGTATCAAAGAATTTGTGGATATATTTTTTTAAAGCCCACACCAGAAATAACTGAAAAATTAAGATCAACATAAAATATATTTTTGTTATTTTTATTGCCTTAAGAGAATTCAGCCTAAAGCAGAAATATCACCAATGTAACCAGGCTTGCGCTTGTAATCCCAGTACCTTGGGGAGCAGAGGTGCGAGAACTGCCTGAGCCTGGGGGTCCGAGACCAGCCTGGGCAAATTGGAGAGACCTTGTCTCTACAATAAATCAAAAAATGAGCTGGGCATGGTGGCGCACACCTGTAGTTCCAGCTACTTGGAAGGCTATGGCAGAAAGACTGCCTGACCTCAGCAGATCGAGGCTGCAGTAGCTGTAAGCATGCCACTGCACTCCAGCCTGGACAGAGGGAGACTCTGGCTCAAACAAAAGAAAAAAGAAAAGAAAAAAAATTACCAGTGTATTCTTCAGTTTACTACATACATTTTTACAAGACTAAAATCTATAATAGCATGAATAATGGAAGAGAGAGTATACTGTAAGGTTCTTATAACTACATATGAAGTATTAATATTACACTATTTGAAGTTTTATTGTATAAGTTGAACATGAATATTGTAAATCCTAGAGAAGCCACTGAAACCTTTATATTATAAAGAGCAATAACTATAAGCCAATTGTGGAGATAAAATCAAGAAAATACTAAATGCAAAAGGTGAAAAAAATGTAAATAGAACTTTAAAACTAGCAAAATGGTGAGTTAAAATTAAGCTATATCAGCCGGGCTCAGTGGCTCAACCTGTAATCCCGCACTTTGGGAGGCTGAGGTGATTGCCTGAGCCCACGGGTTCGAGACCTGCCTAGGCAACTTGGTGAGACCTCATCACTACAATAAATCAAAAAATTAGCTGGGTGTGGTAGCGCACGCCTGTAGATCCACCTACTTGGAAGGCTGAGGCGGAAGGATCGCCAGAGCCCAGCAAGTCAGGAGCGTGCCACTGCATTCCAGTCTCAGCGACAGAGTGAGACTCCAACTCAAAAAATAATAATAATTAAGCTATATCAATAATTACATTAAGAGGTAAATGAGCCGGGCTCGGTGGCTCAGCCTGTAATCTCACGCCTTTGGGAGGCTGAGGTAAGTGGATTGTCTGAGCCCGCGGGTTCGAGACCCGTCTGGGCAGCGAGACCTCATCTCTACAATAAATCAAAAAATCTGCCGGGCTTGGTAGCGCATGCCTGTAATTCCAGCTAATTGGAAGGCTGAGGCGGAAGGATCGCTGGAGCCCAGCAGGTCGAGGCTGCGGTGGCCGGGAGCGGCCACTGTACTCCAGTCTGGGCGACAGAGTGAGACTTCAACTCAAAAAAAAAGAGGCAAATGATTTAACACTTTTCTTCAGCTCATGAATTCCCTCATCTTTTGCCTATCTGGGAAAGACTATTTGTCTTTCATTTATAAAGGAAAACTTTAGTGAGTATAGTATCCTTGGCTGACAGTTACTGTCTTTCAGCACTTTGACTATATCATCTCATCCTCTCCTGGCCTGTAAGGTTTCTGCTGTTTGTCTGATGGGGTTCCCCTTTGAGTGATTAGATTCTTTTCTCTTGCTGTTTTTAGAATTTTCATTTTTCATAGCTTGATGACCATGTGCCATGGAGAAGACCTCTTTGAATTGTATCTAGTTGGGGTTCTCCAAGCTTTGTATATCAGGAGGTTTAAATCTCTTACTAGACTTAGGAAGTTTTCAGCTACTATTTCATTAAGTAGGTTTTCTAACTCTTTCATTTTCTCTGGGCCTTGGGGAACAAAGATTATTTAGTTGTCTTTATGGTGTCATGTATGTCACTTGGGCTTTGTTCATTCTTTCTTTTTTTTTTTGAATTGGAGTCTCTGTCTCCCAGACTGGAGTGCAGCAGCATGATCACAGATACCACAGTCTCAATCTCCTGGGCTCAGGCGATCCTTCTGCCTCAGCCTTCCAAGTAGCTGGGGCTACCTGCACGTACTACACCTGGCTTTTTTTTTTTTCCATCATAGAGACAAGGTCTTGCCATGTTGTCCAGGCTATTTTTTTCTTTTTAGTTGGAGTCTCACTCTGTCACCCAGGCTGGAGTACAGTGGCATGCTCACAGCCACCACAGCCTCAACCTGCTGGGCTTAGGCGATCCTTCTGCCTTTGCCTTCCAAGTAGCTGGAACCACAGGCATGTGCCGCTATGCCCAGCAAATTTTTTGATTTATTGTTAAGATGAGGTCTCACCATGTTGCTCAGGCTGGTCTCGAACCCCTGAGGTCAGGTAGTACCCTTGTCTCTGCCTTCCAAAGTGCTGGGATTGCAGGCTTGCGTTATCATGCCGACCGACTGGTATTGAACTCTTAAGCTCGGGCAATCCTCTTGCCTTGCCCTCCCAAAGTGCTGGGATTACAGGCATGAGCCACCACGCCTGGCCTCTTTTTTCTTTATTTTTGTCTGTGTTATTTCAAAAGAGCTGTATTCAAGTTCTAGAGCTCTTTCTTCTGCTTCATCTAGTCTGGTTTTTGTTTTGTTTTTGAGTCAGTCTCTCACTGTGTCGCTTAGGCTGGAGTACAATGGCACGCTCACAGCCTCCATAGCCTTGACCTCCTGGGCTCAGGCAGTCCTGCCACTTCAGCCTTCCAAATAGCTGTAACTACAGGTGCATGCCACCACACCCAGCTGATTTCTTAAAAAACTTACTATAGAGATGAGGTCTCGCCAAGTTGCCCAGACCGGTCTTGCACTCGTGGGCTCAGGCAATTCTGTCACCTCCACCTCCCAAAGTGCTGGGATTACAGGCGTGAGCCATTGTGCCTGGCTGATCTAGTCTGTTTATGAAATTTTTGAATGTATATTGTATTTCATTCAATGAATTCTTCAGTTCCAGAATTTACATTTGGATTTTTTATTATGGCGTTTATGTCTTTGGTAAATATCTCATTCATATCCTAAACTGTTTTTCTGATTTCCTTGTATTGTTTTTTGTGTTCTTTTCTCTCACTGAACTTCTTTAACATAATTATTCTGAATTTTTCTTCTGGAATTTCATAAACTATTTTTTCATTGGAATCTGTTGCTGGGGAATTAATGTATGTCTTTGTGGATATCCTGTTTCCCTGCTTTTTCATGTTTATTGTGTCCTTACATTGATATCTGTACAACTGGTGTAACAGTTGCTTCTTCCATTGTTTTTGGGCTTGCATCCATGAGGGAGAGTTTTTCCTGAAGATGTATGTATGGTGTTGGTTAGATAAAGTGCTTTGGCTTTGGTTCTAGGTGCATGCATGTGGTTACTCTGTGATTTATTTAGCTGTAAACAGTGTCAGTGCTCTCTATGATTGCCTCAGTGACTTAAGTTGTAGTTGTTAGTGGAGGCTGTGGTGAGTTTTTGCTGTGGATGGGAACATAAGGTGGGCTGGTTTTGGGGTTCCAAAAGTGGCAGCAGTAGACTGAGTGTGCCTGTCCTTGGGTCCCTGGTTGGTGGTAGTGGGTCCAGGTGGGCTAATTCTTGGGCCTCCAGGTGGCTTGCTTAAGTGCTGGCAGTGGCACAGTGGACTGAACAGGTGGATAGGTTTTGGGGCCCTTCGGCAGCTGGCATGGCATGGGTGATGGCATTAGGAGTGGAGGGAAAAACCTTCTGTTCCTAGAGATCCATGCTGGTGTTCGTGGTGGCTGTGACATGCTGGGAGGACCAGTCTTCAGGATCACAGGTGACATGTACAGGTGGATGCCAGCTGTGGTGTAGTGGTAGGTGGGGGTCCTAACCTCAGGACCCTAGGAGAAGTAGTCAGGTGTCCACAGCAGTGGACTAAGTTCGGCAGTCCCAGGACCTCAGCATGCTTAGGCACTAGGGAGTACAGAACAGGTCTGGCAGACCTGAACTCAGACTCCCTGGTGGTCCATTGAGGTGCTGGCTATAGTAGGCAGAGGTGGGGTACAATTATCCCTAGGTCCCCAGCAAAATGCTCCTGTGGGACAAGCAGCTGCCGCACTGCACCTGTGTGACTGGGGAGCGTAGGTTTGCTTTCAGTGACAGCATTACCAGCGATTGTGTACTTTGGCTCCAGGTGGTGGCTGTGGGCAAGATAACCTGTCCTTAGGGCTTTTGTATGGCTACTGCTAGGGCAGTGGGTGCACTGTCAGTGGCCCTTGGTTTGGCCCTGGTGGCAGCATCCCACAGCAGATGCAGCTGGGGATGCAGGTGTTTGTCCTCGGGGTGTGAGAAAATGCACACATTTTTGCTGTCAGTGGCTCATACTTAGGCCATGGTAGCAGCAGCTTGCCATGGTGGTGTCTGTGGGCAAGGGATATCAATGGGGCTCCATGGATGTGGAGTTGCAGGGGTTTTTGGGCCCCCCAGGGAGGATGCTATCTGTTGAGGGCAGGACTCTCAAAATGACACCTACCTGCTTAAGACTCAGGGGTGAGTCCCAGCGTTAGCCTCTTTTCTGGAGCAATATCACTGCATGGGCTCCAGGCAGCCCCCTGTTAGTCTCAGGGCCTGCAGGGGTTGAGGGGTTCTTCCAAGGTTAGGACTCCAGGAGTCTGCAGCGGAAATATAAACTGCTAGGGGTCTATCCTTTATCCTTACCCTGTACTGGGGAACCTCTATAAGCACCCTGTCAAGCTC